AACTTGATTATTACTTTCTGGTCAGTTGCCAGAACTGGATCAAAACAAGATTTTAAAATTCCAGCTGAGTTACATTTGCTATTTCAGAGGGAATATGCTTAGGATCTTGTCAAGTTGAGGTCTATTTCATGAGCAGCAATAAAAAATCTTATTTATATATCTTGTCTGCCTACCATTTTAGGTATGCCTTTCTTATAATAGGTCCTTTTTTATAGTTTCAACTTTTTTGCTTTGTCTTAAAATCTCAAAAGCCTTAAGAAAATAATGAAAGCAGAATCTCTTATAACAAAAAATTATAGTACATTGTTGTCAGCGTGAGACAGGCCTTATTTGTGTCAACTGCAGAATATGAAACTCTTTTGCTTGGGAAATTTTAAAGGACTTTAGGATACAGATTACATCCAGCATCTGGAATGTTAACTTATGGCTCACCATTGAGTACAACTCAAGTGATTATCACTGTCACCTTGTATATTTCTTCTGTAAAGACACTATTGCTTAAGACTGAAAGTGGGGGAGGGCTTTAATATTTAAATATATAATGCAAACATTTCCATTACTAAGGCAATAACCTTTTTGAGATGCTAGCATTCAATGTAGATGCCTTTACTGTACTTGTATTATGCTTTTAAGTTTAGTCACTTAAAAGGAATCTTTGTCTTTATTTCAGCCAAACTACGGTGTTTTAAACATTCCTCTCATATCTTCTGCTCTTAGAATGCTGATATATAACTTTCACTGACAACTGTTTGTAACTGAGAGCTGCATATATGTAATGAGAAAATTAAGGATTGCAGATTTATTATACTATTGATTGACCTGCTTTGAATCTGTCTGCCAAACCCATAGAATATTCTGCTTTATTATCTTGAGAGTTACCAAATGGATAAATGAAGACTTTGAGGGAATTTAATTTTTTTGTTTCATACTGAACTAGTTCTACATACCAGTTTTAATAACACTGTGTGTGGTCTCCAAGCTCCAGCTGTTTATATATTTAAGACCAGCTGAGTCTTAGGAAGTAAATAATTATAGTAATTCCTTTCTTCAGCCCTAAGGGGTTAGTCATTGGAGGAAACAAACATTGCCCAAGATTGGAGGTAATGTTTCTGAAACCTGTCAAATGTCTATGAAAAATTGTCCCCTTTTTTTCCCTCTAATTGCTGCTTTGAAAAGGCAGACAAGCTATAGAGGTTCCTTGAAAATGGTTTGCTTTTTATGAAGCTAGAAAATCTTAGTTATCAGGCATGTCCACAGGATCAAAAGGATCAAGATGGCAGCCACGTTGGTGTAATTGAAACAAACATTCATTAAAAACAGGACTTTAATCACATCACTGTGGGTGCCATCATGACTTTTTTTTAGTATACTCTATAGACACACCTGATAATCATAAAATAATGTCTTAATTCAGCTATTCTGGAGGCACTCCATCCCATCTCATCCCCTCAAAAAGATAATATAAATCCTAGATGATAAATCTTGCTTCATTTTGCAATTCTGAGTTTTTGCTTAATTCTAATTTGAGTTTTACTTTTGACACCTTTTTATATAGATTAGTTTTGCAGTTTTGCCAATTAGGTTAGTGACCCCCAACTTTTTGGGCACCAGGGACCAGTTCCATAGAGAAAGGTTTTTCTGCGGACTAGAGGGGGCATGGTTGTATGTGTTGCCTGCATCCTGCAAATTGGGCTTCGCTTAAATGCGTGGCCCCATTGCTGGCATGTTGCAGACCGGTGCCGGTCCACGAACCAGGGGTTGGGGACCCCTCAACCAGGCTGTTCTACTTTCTCCGGTTTCTTTATGATTGTTAGTAATTATTATGATTTATAAAATTATAAAATTTTATAAAATACTTCATACAATAAAGCATCTGTTGCACAATTGAATGGACACACAGTAAAAGGAAAATGAAAGGAAAAGGGAGAAAGAAGGTATACAAGTTTGGCTGTCAGTTTAACATAGTTAAAGCCTATGGTTTACAATGTATTAATTAACTGCTAAGGAATTAGTCATGTAGCATTGTTCACAATGCTTTCATTTATCAACTTCTGAAAAAGTTTGAAATACACAAGACGTTACCAGGTAAGGAAACAGGATGGGAGCCAGTTTTGGTGTAGTGAGTAAGCCACTGAGATAAAAAATAGGAGTCTGGGAGTTCTAGTCCCATCTTAGGCATGAAGCCAATTGGGTGAAAGTGGTATGGGCAAAGTACCTCAAAATCTTGCCAGAAAAGCTGCAGTGACTTGTCCAAACAGTCACCAACAGTTGACAATGACTTGAAGACATGCATACACATATACACACACACATACATATGGAGGAAACAAGATAGATGGGTCTAATTTTGTCTAACCTGATATGTTTAATGGGAATGTGGTGGCTATGGGAGTGCAGTGGCTTGTACAGTTAGGACGATGGGCTGATGAACATGTTCGAGACCCATTGCTGTCACAACAGGGTAAGCTCCCGTCCTTCGCTCCAGCTCCTGCCAACCCATCAGTTCGAAAGCGGGTGACCCGAAGTAGATTAATGAGTACCACTTTGATGGGCAACTTCATGGGGACACAAAAGGAGCCCCCAACTGGGTGTCCTCTAGGCCAGGGCTTTTCAACCTTTTCACCAATTGTACCACTTTTAGGATATGGCAATATTCGAGTACCACCTAGCAAGGTGTCAAAAACTTGATGACCAAAAAAAAAAAAAAACCCGTTGAAAGTTGCAATTGCACTGAAATGACTTATGACCATTTTTCACACATGACCTTGCAGCATGCCCAGGGTCATGTGATTTATATTTGGATGCTTGGCAACTGATTCATATTTATGATGGTCACAGTGTTCCAGGGTCATGTGATCCCCTTTTGCAACCTTTTGACAAGCAAAGTCAATGGCAGGGCTGCTGGTGGCCAAGTGCTAAGGCGGGACTTCTCTCTCTCCTTCTTTCTCATTCCCATCTCCTTCTGAAGAAAGAATTTGAACCCCCTCCCCCATATTTTCTCTCTTCCATATATTCATCAAACAAGGAAAAGCCTCCAGAGACAGAAAAGACAAGCTGCTGAGTGAACTAGCTTAGAAAGGCACATTCCCCTTTAAGAATTAGCTACTAGCTAGAAAAGAAAGTTAAGCAGCCGGCATTTAAGGAAGAAAAAAAAATGTAGTAAGTACTGGCTGCCGGCTAAGGCAGCCTTGCCAAATGGCTCCATTCTTAAGTAAAGGAATGCTACAGGCAAAATCCATTCAGGAAAAAAATACTTCAAAATTCCTTGCAACAAAACTTACAGCTAACAATAGCAGAGCAATAGAAGCTAACAGGAGCCATCAGCCAAATAGAAATTGCCAAACACTCCTTAAGAACAGAAAGCCCACATTGCACAAATCCCAGGACTTCAAAGTCACAAAAGCACATAAGAATCCTTCCACTCTCCATCTTCCTGCCTCACCTCCAGCCATTGCTGCCTTTTTTCACTCCTCTTGGAGGGTGACCCCTCCCCCACTGTATTTCTTGCCTGTTTGCTGCTGCCAGCACAGGTGGCTGCCACAGCAGTTGTAGATCAGTTCATGGCCAGCCTGCTTGATTTCCTCTCCTCTCCCCCCACCCTCCTCCTCCTCCTCCTCCTTCTTTCCCTTCAGTGCAGCTAGAGCTGACTCTGCCCCCTCCCAAGGCTGCTGCTTTTTTTTTCTCTCCCTCTCCCACCTAAATTGCCTCCTTTTATAGCCTCTCCTGTCTTCATCCCCCTCCTCTTCCTTTCTCATGGGGGAGAGTGAGCCAGCAGTGTGCCTGGGGCCTTTGCAGCTCCAGAGGACTCTCTGATTGTAAGTCCTTGCCTGTGCTGGCTCTTTCCCTCCCCACTACACTTGGCTGGGCAGGGTTGTGTACCACCTGCCACTTGTTAATGTACCACAACCGTACCACCGGTTGAAAAGCCCTGCTCTAGGCAACGGTGGTGTCACTGCTGAATTGTTTTGCCATGGAAGCACTTCAGTGCTTCTGACCTGGGTGGAAAAAAATATGTTTAGTAACAGTGATTAGGAAAGGACCCATTGTTTTCCATTGTGACTTCCATTCCTCAGGAGTCAGCAATAAGTTCTGAATAATAATGCCAGTTTCATATGCTCAAGTCACTATGATATAACTATGAATCTACATATAAACATAGCCTACTTTGCATTTCCTTTTGTGAAGCTTGTAGGTCCCTGTTGTGCTCTTACCACATTCCAGAATCTCAGCTACAGGCAAATTACAAATATTCTGAATTCCACCTTCACTCCTGTGGGTTAGAATCCACGTCATTCACAAGGTCATACCTGGGTTGAGTACCCAGACAACAAAGCAAAGCCTTTTGTTTATGGAGCTAGCTATGTGTGGCAGACCAGGCAGGAAAAGCTGAGACTTTTCTTCAGTCTATATTTTAAGATGGAAAATCCTGGAAAATCTCAAGCCAATAATTAGTAAAAGGGAATCAGAAAGAAAAGAGTCCTGATTCGCAGAACTGTTATTTACGTAGACAATATGTAGCTAAATGATTAATTAGCATTATGTCAAAATTATTCTTTATTTTCTGTCTATAAGAGTAATTTCTTGTCTGTGATTATTATTGTCTGTACACAACTTCTGGCCTTTTATATATGATATACATTCACACCTCTTTGCCTCAGAGTTGTGTCTGTAATTTTGTGATCTGCCCAGAAATTTATATTTTTTAATATTTTTCTATGGTAAACATTGGCTGTTTTACCAACATAGTCTTTCTGTTCTCCCTGATTATTATTATTTTTAGTATCTAAAATTATAATGAAAGTTTTATGGCAGCAACTACCAACATTTCTTCAATAACCCGTTTTCTTGAAAAAGAACAGGTACTTCACAGCTAGGTTATCATCAGAATACAGCAGATCTCCAATTCTGATACTGTCCATAGTCTTTATTCAAAATTTAAGACAAAGTTATTTTTATATGAACATATTATTAATGTGCTTTACATCTTTTTCTTTTAACAGATTGATGCAACGAGAGCTGTCTGTATCCTTTCAGCCTGAGCAGATCTTAGAAAGAATTTGTAATTGACACGGCACGAAGTTGCCTAGCGTTTGTACTGTGTCACATTTCCATGGGGACTGTACAAGATCCACTGAGATCTACTAAGCTTTCATTAGTTACAACTGAAGAATCTCCTAAACACCAGTGCAAGCAAGCAAGCATAGAAAGCAATAGTAATGGATATCCTTTTACTACCAAGGACCAGCCTTCTGAGGGATGCTTGTTTGAGGTGAACTCTGACAGAGACACCGGTGTTCCAAAGAGTGAGTGGGATTGTGAATATGACACCAAGCATCCAAACACGCTTTCTCCTGGGTCCTTCAGTTCTTCCAAAGAAGGCAACATGGCAGCTCCAGAACCAGTAAGTTATGCTAAGCAGGAAGGCTCCAGAGCCAAAGTCCAAGCCCCAGCACTTGAAGACCACACTTCAGGGCATGGCGAAGTTAAAGTGTCTCTTATTCAGGAAGCTAACAGAAATATTCCAAGTGATAGTGGACAATCATATAATACAACTGATAAAGCAACCACACTGTCTGGAGGAGACCTTGATGGTGTGGAGAGCAAATCCAATGATTATTCTATTCTTCCTTCCCCTCCTAAATATTCTGATATCCAGCAAGCAGTTCCTGCAGGGAAGGGACACATGTGTGAAATTAGTGTCTCTGAAAACAATCAAGTCTTGGTTTCAAAAGATGAGTTGGATCTCAATCTGAAAGCCCCTGCTTGTGTGGAAACAGAATTGGGGAGTACAAGGAATGCACTTTTTTGTCCTAAGAATGAGCTACAGACTACATCTGAATGCAACCTTAAGAGCACTCCAGAGACATCATGTAGTGATGAGCCTGAAGCAAAGGTGGTTCCAAACTTGTCCAAATTCCAAGACACGGGTACAATGACAACAAAGCCTGAGAACAGAGCTGTAGATGCAGAGACAATAAGCAGGACTCATCAAGATGCTGAGGTTCAAGCTGTAGCTAGTATGGAAAGCAAATCAGCTTCTACTAGCCCAAGTATCATGACTGCGTTCTTAAGAGAGAACATGTCTCCTGAAGCAAAACAGGACCAAGATCAGTTGCACATTATTTATATGGGAGCTAGAGGGAAAGAGCAATCTGAAATAATTGGTGACTTTGCAGCAACTGTCCAAGCACCTTCGTCTATTGGCATCGTGCACAAGGCACATGTTCAAATACCAGCTACAATAGAAAGGCCTCTGGGAAGTCCTACTGTCAAACTTCAGAAGAATCTCACAAACATGTGTGACCCAATCTGCTCAGCTTCGCTTGATAAGGCAGAAGAGATATGTTCAGTGGCATCTGAGAATTCTCAAGAAACTTTGGCCAAGAGGACAGAAGTGCAAATGACAGACGTGGCTAAAAATTGTGGCAATGTTCCACAGCGACTGCCAGACAGTTCAGTTTTGCAGAAAACAAGACCCATTTCCCAAATTAGTGTCAGTCCTAGTAATAAGCCCATGTCTATCCAGCACCCTGCAAACTTTGAAACTAAACTACCTCCATGTTCTTCAATCCCAGCCATTGACAGTAAATATCAACACTCTGATTCTTCTTTGTGTCACAGAACATCTGAACAAGCCAAGGCTATCGTTACCAGTATGAATACTAAGAGGACTCATCAGGAGAAACAGCTGCAGATCAAGACTGTTGATAACCTTGAGACAACTCTGCCTAATTTCCCCATTGCTGTAAATTCAAAGAAAGAAGGAAAGGGTCATGTCATATCTGAAGAACAAAAGATGAATACGACAGGATCTGTTACTGGTTCTCAAACAATGAGTGTTCCAGTTGTAGCAGAAAACAAGCAGGATATGGTTCCTGGGGATACCAAGGCAGAAACTTTAGTCAGTCACAATCCAGCTTCTGAGCTGAGTAGATGTTTTGCCACCGCTATAGGAATCCAGAATGATGAAATCCAGAAGGGTCCAGTGCTTGATGTACCAGCTCCTCGAACATCTTCAAGTCCTATACCATGTTTTGGTGAAAAGAAGAAAGGATTCAAGGCTATTGCTGCTGAGGCAAAAGTGCATCTGAAGCAATCCAAGCGTGTCAGGGATGTCATGTGGGACGAACAGGGCATGACCTGGGAGGTTTATGGAGCATCTCTAGATCCAGAATCTTTGGGAATTGCTATCCAGAACCACTTGCAGAGGCAGATCAGAGAGCACGAAAAACTCATTCAGTCTCAAAGCTCCCAAGCCCGTAAATCAATTTCTTCAGATACATCTTCAAATAAAAAACTGAAAGGGAGGCATCCCAATGTTTTTCATTCCATGCTACAGAATTTTCGACGCCCAAAGTGCTGCGTTCGTCCTGCTGCTTCTTCTGTGTTGGACTGAAAAAAAAAGTCAGAAATGAAGATGGGAAAGCAATACATCCATTTGTGTGCATTTGTGTACTTGTACAAGGAACTCTATGGATGTTTGAGTTTCTAATACACTGATACAGGGTTGAGGGGAGAGGAAATTATGACAGTATATTTTATTCCCGCTAGTTAACATGCCTTCATCTGTCTAATTTCTACAAATAACACATGAAATATTCACGTTCATGCTGAAACCTCCCAGTCAATTGCCAAATAAAATATGAGTACCTCGTAAAGCACAATTCAGAACTGTCAGGTTACAGTAGCTTTAGATAAAAAGAGAGGGGAGACAAAATCTTAAATAGATTGTTTTGTTTTTTTCATGAGATAATGTAGAAAAAGATTCCCAAACTGAGGAGTGGAAAGAAGGAAAGCTGGGATGGGTTCAAGTAGAAGGGTTAGAAGGAATGGTGCTTTCTTAACTGTATAAACCCTTCAAAGTTGAGACTCATCTACAGATTAGATACAGGACCTGGTGCCCAAATCCTTTCAGGTAACTTTTACTGTAGGCCAGAATTCTCCAACATTTCTGGCTTTGCGGACTGGCAGGGGTGAGAGGGAATGGTTCTATGTGAGTGGCCGGCAAGCGCGCACACGCAACTCCATTAGTGCGAGTGGTGTGCACTCGTGCCTGCCGCTCACTTAAATGGAGTGCTCCACTCACCCACTGCTCACGCAAGTGAAGATGTCTGTGCGTGGGCACACGTTCGCCAGCCATTTCCACGGCTTGGTTGCAAACCAGAGATCCACAGGTTGGGCACCCCTGCTGTAAGCCCATTGGCAGCCACTGTCAGCCTTGCCCCACTGAAGGTGGTTAATCTCAAATGGAAAGTGCATAAGTCTCCAATCCTTCAAAACCAGATTTGAGACTTCCGTGTATTCATTTATATGCTGATTTTAATTGTGGAAACCTTTTGGAAAAAGTATACATTTGAGGTTTGATGGCTAATAACACCACATTTTTTTGGACTGGTGTTGGACTATATATAAAATTATATATCAATGGAAAGATAATTTAATCAAGAATAATGCAATAACTTTTATGAAGGATTTGCTATTAGAATAGCAGTTATAAAAAAGAAAAGTGAAACACGTAGAAAAAACGAGATATACAAAAATTATCACCATGTCAGTTAATACTTAGTTGAGTAACCTTTAGCATGAATTACGGCCTTACAATGTCTTCCCATGGAGTGAACCAAGTTCTTTAGTTCTGCATCTGTTATAATGTGAAACCAAGATTGAATGATTGCTTCTATTAACTGGGTTTTATTGCTGGGTCGCTTCTGACTAACAAGTTTCTTTATTCGGCTCCATAGATTTTCAATCGGGTTAAGGTCTGGGCTATTCCCAGGCCATTCCAACAGTGGAATATGATTATCTTGAAACCACTTTTTCCAGATGGCAGCAACATGACATGGAGCTGAATCCTGTTGAAATATAAATGCTTCATTGTTTTGGAAAAGATCATGTGCGGAAGGCTTCAGTTTGGGCTCAAGTACTTCATTAATGTATTTTTGGCCATTTGTATTCCCATTAATCACACAAATTCTGATCACACCTTTTGATATCATACAACCCCAGATCATAACACTGACTGGGTGTTTCATGGTACATGTAAATCAATCAGGATGCAAATCTTCTCCGATTCTTCTCCTTACGTATTTTATGCCATCACTACCAAACAGGCAGATCTTGGTCTCATCATGCCAAATAACACTGTCCCATTGTTCCTCTGTCCAGGTAACATGGGTTTTAGCCCAGTTTAGTCTTTTCAATCTTTGTTTGATAGATAAAAGTGGATTTTTTTCATGGAATTCTAGATTTTAGGCAAAATCCCTGCAGTCTGTGCCAAACAGTCCTTGCACTCAACTTCACATTGCATTGCACCATTTCATCTTGTATACACCCAGATAATTTTCTTCTGTCACGTAGGCACAGGCTCTTAATTCTTCTATCATCGCTTGCTGTTGTGTACCTTTTCCTGCTTTTACCAGTATGGTTTTGTAGTGACTGGGTCTCCTTATACCTCTTCAAAAACTTAGAAATGCCACCTTTGGTTAAGTTTCCACCAATTTTTCTTCTAATTTCTTTATACCTGTAGCCTTGTTCACTTAATAATACTATTTTACATCACTTCCTGGGCGACACAAACAGCATTTCACATAATGCTAGAGAAAATAGGATGGATGGAAATCTAGAGTGGATTGGAGAAGTTAAAAATTGGTAGAACCTTTTGCAGTCTTTTCAAATACATATTTCCAGCCTATTGATGCCTGCTGCATAGATATTGTCTGCTTGTTTCCTGATATTGCCTGATGGCTAGGGAATTCTGGGAGTTGAAATCCATGCAGAATAAAATTGCCAAGGTTGAGAACAGTCATCAAAGGGAAAAACAACTGCATTTATAGAAAAATATTCAAATCATTGTATAGTGAACCAGTCACCTACTGATCACTGGTTTAATTTCTTGTGTACATTTCCTATGACTATATTGCATATTCCAGCCTTTCCAAATACTTTTTGCCTTCCAGGTATATTGGATTAGAAATCTTGGAAGCTATAATTCCAATATTTTGAGAGTTCCAAGTTTGGGAAAGGTTCTTCTAGAACAGGGGTGTCAAACTGCTGGCCCATGGGCCGGATGCATTATAGCAAAACCGCGCCCACCCCATTGCCGGCAATGGAAAAAAAGTCAAGATATGTCGCGACACGTCACGTGACGTTGCGAGTTTGACACTCCTGTTCTAGAACAAGAGCTTTTATCCATGGTTGAAAAGAAAGAAGATTAGAATCACTTTTTCTATTTTGTTTGTATTTTCTTTGGTACCAAAGTATCAGTCTGACTACTTTTCATGCTTGAAGCTAAGCTTTGACCCTTGTGTTAATTGTTATTACTAAGCTCCAGTACTCCAGTTAACATAATAACAAAGTTGGAAGGGACTTGATGGTCTTCTAGTCCAGCCCCCTGCTCAAGCAGGAAACCCTATACCATTTCAGACAAATGGTTGTCCAATCTCTTCTTAAAAACCTCCAGTGTTGGAACATCCATAATTTCTGAAGGCAAGTCGTTTCATTGATTAATTGTTCTAACTGCCAGGAAATTTATCCTTGGTTCTAGGCTGGTTCTCTCCTTGATTAATTTCCATCCACTACTTCTTGTCCTGCCTTCAAATGCTTTGGAATAAAGGCCCTTTTGATATTGCTTGTATATATTTTTTCAGCATAGCATTACTCTGTAAATGTTTCTAGAGACATCAGCTTCAGTTCTAAGATGATCATTTATATGTGTGTCACCAATTTATATATACAGATGCTGATGTAGAAACAGTTGCTATAACTGAAAGTGCCTTGGAGTTCAGCAGAAGGAAGAAAGGTTGTGATCATGGGTGACCTTGGAGCATATTTCACATTGTCTGAATTTTAATTGCTGATAAGTAACATCAACCCAAGTATGTTCTTTCTTCTTGTTTTTTTTTAAATCTTTAAATTGGATTAATTTGAGAGCCTATCAAGTAAGCAGAGTTTCTCAACCTTGGCATCTTTTAAGATACGTGGATCTGAACTCCAGAATTCCCAGCCAGCATGTTTGGGGAACATGGCTGATTGGGGAATTCTGGGAGTTAAAGTCCACACATCTTAAAATGCCAAATTCATGTGCTCAGAAAATTATCTCTAAAAATATAATGATATGATAATGCAGACCTGCTTGGAATATATTTGCAAAACATAGAACAAAATTGTGGAATTTTCTCTGCAAATTGATTAACAATCTAACAAAGTTCCTTTGTTAACCATAATTTATTGAACAAGTCATAATTAACTGCACATTGGGACAAATACAGGCAACATTATAGCTTCATATAGTGCATAATTTAGGCCAGTAAATTTAAACGAGTTGAATCCCAGAAAAGGTAATGACATTACAGCAACCTAAATCTCAGGGATTTTCATGACTTTTTTGTGGTTCTGACTAATAGTTGTTGTGAAAGACTATGCTTCTAATCAGATCATTTGGGGGGGGGGGAATGCAATACAGATAGTAATCATTCATTCTGCCAACTTCAACCAATTCTATATTGCACTGCTTTTAGTGGGAAGTAAACATGTATATCACCCATTTCTGTTTAATCAAATACTAAAAATGATTTCTTTGGACTGAACCATCACATGAATGAAAAAAAAAACACGTTTTCCTTTATCTTCCTCCCTGTTGTAGAAAAGAAATATCTTCAGATGTGATCATTTGTGATTATCATGTTTATGGGCTTCCAACCATCATCATTAGAGCTTTTGGAATATAGATATTCTCAAGCTTTGCTTTATTGTTTGCCTTGCAGCAAAATCAGCTCTTTTGGCAGCTCAACACACACACACAACTACTACGGCAGGCAATTTCTTGAAAGGCATTCCAATTTTTCAACCTTTCCTTGAACAATGTGCTGTACTGCAAACCCAAACAAAAAGAGCTCTGTTGCAGTATTTAATCAAAGAACTGAGTTTTAACCCATTGTATTGTGTAGTAGTATTGACTGCCTTTTGAGAGCTGCATGGTGGCCTAGAGGTGGAGCTCTTCCTCACAATCAAGAGGCTGTGAGTTCTATTTTAGGTAGTGGCAGATAGTTCTCTCTCTGGGCACAAACACGAAATATCTGCTGCAAACTCCACATAGGTGTCAGTAAGGGCATCCAGTCAGTAAACGCTCAGCTCCATTCAGTCACCCTGATTCCACCCCGATGCAAGGGAATACAAGGTTATTTTAAAAATTGACTGCCTTTTGAGAAGATTTTTGGAGTCTTAACTTTGGACTTTTGTCATTGTGGCTTTTGGCTACCCATCTATACTTAATTATATGGACAGAGCTAAAAAAAAAAAAAAAGAGAGAAGGTTAAAAGAAATGGATACGTAAATTCCTGGGGGAAAAAGATGAGCTTCTCCCCACCTTCCTGAGATTCAGTCCTATTGAACTTGATAGGACATTTTTGAATAGACGTGTACAAGATTCTCATATTGACTTAGAATTGTATATTTGGAAAGCTTCGTGTTAGGGAACAATTTATTATAATATACACAAAGCCCAGTTGTTTATTCGTAAAAAGATCAGTGTCAAGCTAGTAAGGTCCAATTCCCTTAAATGGATTACAAACCACAAGTGGGAAATAGAGGTCCACGTATTACATTTTTATCTGGCCCTTCTGCAAATATGAGAAGATTCAGTGTTTGTTTACAGGCTTTACATGTAGAAATCTCAGTGTGTGGTCTACTGTCAGCTGAAATACTAGATAGCGAATTAGGGGAAAGTCCAGGCAAGGTAGCTTGATGATCCAGTTTGAGTTAGAACAGACAATGTCTATCTAGATCAGTATTTCTCAGCTTTGGACACTTGGAGATGTGTGGACTTCAACTTCCACAATTCCTTAGCCAGTATGCCTGTCTGGGGAATTCTGGGAGCTGAAGTCCACACATCTTCAACCAGCCACGGTTGAGAAACATTGATCTAGATAAATATAATCTTGAAAAGTAATATAAAATAGCTTCCAGTCATACTGAGCTGCCATGAATCATTAACACAATAGTTCTATATGTAATGAAAATATTCTAATAACATGGAAATTGTGGCTGGTAATAGATTATGGAAAAGAACGTGATCATGGGCTGCTATTCATAACAGCTGTATATTACCTCCAGCAAGTTGAAGATAACTCCCCAGTTTGTGGAGAAAGCAGGCCAAGGGGATTCTATCTTCATAGAAGGCCAGGGTGGAAACACAAAGGTTAGATAAATTATTCATGTTACCAGCAGAGCTGAGATTCTTAAAACTATAATCCTGTCACTTCTGTTCATTTATTCTACTTAAATTTGACTGCTTTTATGTGCTTAACAACTAAAGAGTTTTTTTTTAAAAAAAAAATTGAGCCATTTTAATAACCATGTAATTCTTCTGGTGAACCAGATTTTTTTAGGATTCATTTGTAAAGACGCAGTTATCTGGAAGGGTTCCTCTTGAAAGCAGCAGAGAGAAATTGTACACCAAGAAGTTAAAATCTGGCTTGTTGTATTGTAATCTGAAAATTATGCACTAACAAATTTATTGAAATCAATGGAGTTGGCTCCTAAACTGAGAAACAAGATACACCAAAGGCACACAGAATGCTGTTACCTTCCCACTGAAGTAGTATCTATTTACCTACTCAACATTTGCATGCTTTCAAACTGATAGGTGGACAGGAGCTGGAGCAAGTAACGGGAGCTCACCCCATTGCAGGAAGCTCAGGTCTTGAACCCGGGCTGTCAGCTCTCCAGCTAAGAAGCTCACTGTCTTTAACCTAAGTCATTGCGCCCCTCTTTTAGGTATGTCGTTGATATTAATGGTGAATTTTCTGTCTGCAAAAGCAACCATTCCTGATTATGAAGGATAATTATGTTCTATTAGACTCTCAGCATGTCAAATTAGTGGGTACTTGGGCAAAATGCCCACAGGGGTTCTCATGTTCTAACCATTACACTGCCAGTTTCTACTCCATTCTCTCCCTAGTTTTCTTCCCCAAATTATATTTTTTTAACTTGTAAACATATTTTTCTGTAGAACTATACTCATGACCAGAATCCTCAATTCTCCAGGAAATATCTGTGAAAGAAAATGCATGGATATCTTTGTATTTGGGAGTCCTTAATGTAGTTTATATACAGTTGCTATAAGCAATCTCTTCCTAGTTAGCCTTACCGATCTGAAGAAAGTTGCAAAAATGTACAGTTTTCACCAACTGTGTTTCTTAGATTCTCCTGTTTTCTTTCCACAATAAAGCAATACATCTCTGTGATGGTTTAGCCACTGTCAGCCATACATAATCTGCAAATATTTGTGGGATTTAGATTGGAAAATGTAGTCATTGAACACTTAATTTGACATCTTCTTGGATTTATATTTTGCTCTTTTCTCAAATTGCCCATTTTTATCCAATTCCACCCTGGATAAATGTTTGATTATTGAATTTCCATGTATGGGATTTGTCCTGTTGATGAAGTTTGTAATATTGACACTCTTCTATTGTGCAAAATGTGAACTTTATGTGGATTGTTTGAATAATAGTGTAATTGTTGGTGATATTATTAGGTAAGAGTTGTTGACGCTTGGCTTCTCTTACTACCCCTTGTCATGCTGTTGGCACCAAACTGTCTCTGCAGCTCTTTCACACTCAGAAGATCTACTGTTTCTTCTCGCTTCTTCTTGTGTCTTCAGATGCATTGTCTTCATCCAGATTGTCCATACGGATTGTAATGTGGCATCCGTAAAAGAATCTCTTGACATTTTCCTCCACATCTTCTCTTCAGGGTAAGGCTCTGAATCTGGAGTACTTTGAAGAGACTTTCTAGTGAGAATTCATTACAAACCAATGATTGTGAATCGCTTATAATGTGCCAAAACAATAGAAGAAGTGAACAGCTAAAGACATCTATCCAAATTTAGAGGGCGTGACAAAATCTGGACCTATATTTTCACCTCCCCCTCTTCATTTACAACAAATGTTTGGCTTTTCAGCAATGGATGAAACCAGCTATGGATTTAAACGGGGAAAAGGCAAAAACGATGAACTTCTTTGACTTTGAGGAAACAGGAACATTTGTCTCAAAGGTTCTCAATTCAACCCAAACACCTCTAATTATAGTGTTTCCAATACATAGAGAAATACCTA